TTCTCAACAATGTTCGGGGATGTGGTGGCCATCACCCGTGTCCATAGCTGGTCGTAGGAACACTGGCTTAAAAGCAGAGTCACATAAAAAAGGACGGGGGTTAACATAGTTTTATGAAGTTAGGGTTTCGCATCCATTCTTTCTTACTGCTTTTTTCTCACTTCACTGCTGCCCAGCCACACCTATCTGGGGTTCTATGCAGCTAGTAGAGAGGTGAAGGTGGTATTGCGTGTTCACATTACTGATATATTCATACAGGTACAGTATGCAGCTCTGTAACCAACTATTCAAGATGGTTCACGACTGCTCTTGCTTCATTTGTTAGTTGCTTCCCTGGAGATCGAAGGTAGACGTTATTTCTAGACCTTTTGTTGGAGGTCATCACATTCTCTCATCCGTGGTACATGAGCTACTTCCATCGCGCTAAGTTTTATCACCCAGCAGTAGAAAGCAGAATAGTTGTCCTTTAAGTTCGAGTCTACTTTGCCTTCCCACATATGTAGCCCCCCGAGACTTCCCCGAAGTAGAAAGAAGACATAACACTCGGACAGAACAAGTATTGTCGCCATGCAGAAGGGATTGGGGCTAGTGGCATGGCCTAAAATCCAGGCTACCTGTAGGAGATACAGTGACGGGACTCTTAACTTGCTCTTTCTCAAAACCGAGAGCTAAACAAACAGTTAGCGTACTACACAATTACCAAATCGGTCACCCATTCGTACTTACACATTTCTATTTCTCCTCTAAGATATCCTTCCATCGGAAATAATTTAAGGTCTTGCAGTATACTATGGTGGCAGCAAGCAATTTAGTTGCTAGAATTTCGTTGACTCGTCCGGAGGGGTATTTTTGCGAAGCCATCTGTCAGAACTGTCATTTGAACGAAATTTTTGCCTACAAATGTCATTGTGATTCTGTTATTCATTGGAAAAAAAACAAAGCTTTAGAAAAGACAAAGTAGTTTTTTTATAATTCTGTGAAAAGCGGGGGTGTCATTTTTCGTTAAAAGCAAGAATATGAATCAGCAGGCATTATGTGGGAAGAAACTTCTTAGGGAATGAAAAGTGACAAAAAAACTTGTGCAGCCATCTAGCCATAATCATCATGACCATGATCACTATCACCACTTCTCCTCCATCTCCACCTTCGAGGCATTGACGAAATCCCTTGCTATCAATGTGTCAAGGAGGGATCGTGCACCACAACGTAGGTGTTTCATTACCGTAATGACCGAGAACACTCCACATGCATGCCATTGTTCTAGGCTCAGCCAAATTTTCCTACGTCGCCTGACAATGAACATACCTGACACACTGATGAATGAGTAAGTTCAGGTGGGAAAATTGAGGCATCAAACATGTTTCAAGCAAATAAACGCTTTCCTTACATTTGAGGTGTATCTACAAATCACAGCTTCCTCTTCCTCACTCGTTTCTCCACAAATTTTGTATACCAGACCATTCAATCGGGTTGGATCGTGCGAAATCGGCTTTCCAACCCTAATGTAGGTTCAAACATTAAGCTGAGAGAAGGTAATGTATGGGAGTTCACCAAAAGTGTATGCACCTGGTTGATATGCCGTCGTTGAGTCCCTCAGCTCGAAAAGCCTTCGTCGCAGGTGGGGTGACCCGTCGTCAATGCCGCTATTACTGCCGCACATAAGATGGCAATGGGATTTGATGTAACAGTGACAAAGTGACTTCTAGCGTATTCACACGTGACAGAAGTCAAATTAAGGAACTGATATCATGAATTTCTGCAACATTTAATCACGATGACCGAATAACTGCAAGAAAATTGTCACTTTCTGGCGAAAAGAATTCGTTAACCACGTTTTGGTAAATCGACTCTTTGTAGCAGCCTGGTTAACCCTGAGGACGTGGGACAGTTGGGTGGCGTTGTAGTACTTGAAATGCTCCTGAAGCACGCAATTCCAGACTGTGCTCCCGTTAGAAGCGTGCAGGAGCGCTTGATGGCTAGTAGCATAGGAGCAGCATGAGCAGAGCCCCACGCCACTGTCTTTGAGACAGAGTAGGGTCGATTAGCACTGTACAAACCGCCATGTTCATGCTGCCAGGAGACCACACTGCGACAGATGGGCAAATCCGAGTTCATTTTCCTGTTTTAAACCTAACCTTAACGCCCTTAGCTGTTTTCTAGGTTAAACATCACAACAGTTATGCGACCCATTAAAACCACAAAATGGGTAATGACAAATTAACCTACTTTAACAGAGGAGTTCTGTCATATTTTCTGATTACCTAACAGAGCAGACAGTCCAAAACGAATATCGTACTTTGGTCGGAATACTGACAGTCTTTTTCTGACAGGCGGCTGGGGCTAAAATGGCAGTGGGTAGCGGTGATAAGCTGAATGCACAGTGTAGATTGTAACTTAGACGAGTGGATGCGTCTCTCCCCACGCGATGCTTGAAATTCCAGTTCTGTGTAGCTGGTGCAAAAAGTGGTTGAGGAAGCTGAGAAATCACAACGAATAGTTGGTGGGAAAAAACCTTACAACTCAGTAAATTACAACCAAAAGGAACCCAAGTTTGCTCGGTCATGTCGAATTCGACTAAAATCGTATCCTAACATAAAACATGGCTGGTGGTATTGACACAGCAAAGTATTATGTCCAATGTCCTAGCAATATTGCGATACCTAAATGTGTAAAAAACAAAGAGCCAAAGTTTTATGACGCGTCATAACGAAAAGTCTATTTTAGTTATACAAAATTTACATTAAGTGAGCAACATTTAAAATTAGGTAAATCATGGAAAGATCCGCGGCAGCCTCTAGAACAATAAAAGAAAGCCCATTTTCCGAGGAGGCGAACGCAAAGAGATAGTTAGGTGAAGGGGCTAAGAGAAAATAATAGTGCGACCTGAAAGCATAAAAAACAGAAAAGAAAATCAAATTAGTAGTAATGATTTCGGGGCAAGAGCCATTAAACTCAAGGAGAGCGCATGGCATTCGTTTAAGAAATACGGCCTAGTAATCATAACATGACATAACATAACACTTCCCCCTACTTAAGTGCTTGGAAAAGCACCTACCACAAACTAAGCAGGGACAGTTTCTTTTGTATTCAAGATTCCTAATGAAACATCAGCATCATTTTTTGCAAACTAATACCCGATTCGATAGCAGTGTATGAATATATTATCTAATGGTCCCACTAATCGTATCGTATCCGTGACACATTCGCTGAGATGTTATTGAGTGTTGCATGCTGTTCCGATTTACCCAGCAATTTCACCCATTTCACATGGCTTCATAGAGTAAAACAAGTCTTTTATTATTTTTTTTTCCTGACAGGCACTCACCATTCACACGATCCTGGATCTGAGAATTGGCAAAGGAATACAGGCTACCGATTTCTGCAAAAGCAAACTAAATTTACTGACCTAAAATAGTGCCATCTCAAAACTTAGGCCTCCCCCGAAGGAAGAGCTTGGTAGACAACGGTCCAACGCGCGGAGAAGCGATAGAAAAGCAGTAAAACACAGAGAAAGATCACTCCCAAGGCTGTACCGATGATGAAGGTGGCGGTGGGAAAGATGCCCCGTTGGAGGCAGCGATACCCCCAGTGGTTGGCATTACACATGCAGTTGAAACAGCCTGGCCCATTAAAAATGCATTCGGAGTTGGCCGGACAGATGTGGTCTTTATAACAAATAGGAAAGAAGAGGAGTGAAATTCAAGACAAGATTTTATCGATGTCTAAAGCATTCTCCTTGACTTAAAACTGAATGTGTGACACCAAATCATCAGGGCTTCCTGTCCAAGAATAGTAAATAAAAGCTGCAGAAATCACCTAGCTGTTAGTAAAAGCTTATTTTCAAATTAAGAAACTTGGTGGCAGGTCAGTCGTACCTTTACCAAAGGTCTGGCAAAAATCCAACTGGTGCTCCCAAACACGGATCGTGGAATTGCGCATGGTTTCAGTTGAATTCCAGGAGAAATGCCCACCCGGAGATGAAATGTTGGCATCAATGAGACTATTTGATGAATAATACACAGAGAAAGCTCTTACAGTCGATCAAGGGCGACGCACTCACAAAGACTTTCCAAAGGCCGCAGTTTTGGGTTCCCATACAAATGTCTTAAAAATTATTAAAAACAAAAAAGCCTACAAAAAGAGGAGAGTATTCGATGAGATTTCAGGCGGTGGTTGAATAAGATCTGAATTGGATAAGTCGAGGCTAGAAACGTAGAAGACAATTCAGAATGAAATTTTTAGATACAAACGCAACTGAAAATGATTATGTAGGAAAAATTTACATGAAGTTTGCGCACATTAGCAGTCAGACCTACCCAATAACCTCATTATTTAATGCACATTTTCGGCCAATAACACGTCCTCCATATTGAAAGCAGTCTTCTTCAAATAAGGAAGAAGAAAAAACCGGACAAGAGAGGAGTAATAGAAGTAGATACATGTCATCTGAAACAAACGATGTTGACACAAATAATAAACATAAGCAAGACATAGTTCGTGAAAATAACGAGACTTATAGCTTCAAAAAATAAGTTTAAAACGCATATCGGATTAGAAAGCAGTGAAATAACGCGTCAGAATTCATAAACAAGGGTAAGGCTACGTTGATACACACTGCAGGTCACAAAACAAGAAAATCTTTAGCCCAAACCTACCAAGATCCCAATAATCACATTCAGAAATGGGGGTAGCCGAAGATCGAATATTAGTATAGGGAATGGGGATTCAGGATAAATTCGACGAAACGAAAAATCACCACCGACAGCCTAGTAGAGCCAATGCACGTTGAATACTTGCCTTTACAGTGAGTCCGGTAAAAGTTTTAAATAGAGGAAAATTTCATGCATCGATCAATCGTATGAGCGAATTCTGAATAATTATCTGAGACTAAAACGTGCCACAATGTACCTAATCTAGTGCTCGCTGTAAAGATGGTGTTTAGGAGCCCTGGATACTAATTTAAAATAGTTAGGCTCTAATGTGGCGTCCCGAGACTCCTTGAAGACGAAAGAAGACAAAATACTCGGGCAGAATATATATTCAGCGCAGAGAAGGTGTCTGGACTATTGGCATGGCCCAAAAGGCCAGCCCACCCAGCGAGGTACAAGGGGACTGATTCAAAGTACAGAAGTGGCGCCTCACCGATACCGAGGGATAAACAACTATCGTATTACATAGCCGCCCTCCCCTTTTGAGCGTCGTCCCCGGCGCTCCCGCAGGTCAACCTCCCGCGTCAGCCATTACAACGTATTCGGTGCTGTAAACACCCACGATCCGACCGTGCCAGTCACCAAATTAGCGCGCAACTGAGGGGATACTTGACCTCAACGTCACTGATCCCTCTTGGGAGCTTGACTAGATCTGGAGTTTTGTTCGGTTTAGGGATTTGATTCAGAACAGGGAATTGCGCTAACCATCATGCGTGTCCATAGACGGATGTAGGAACACTGGCCTAAAAGTAGATTTGGGTAAGGGAGGACAAGATTTAAAACAGGTCCATGGGGGACGGTAGGGGAAATTCGCAACGAAACTTCCAGATGTTTCACGGCTAGTGTCGCTTCAGTTGTTAATAGCTTTTCTGCAGAACACGGGACTGGGAGAGATGCCGAAGGCAGACGTCAACATCAACCCTTCTGTTAGGGGTCATCACCATTCTCCCATCCGTAGCATATGTACTTCCTCGGCTCCACTAAGGCCTATCAAGCAGAAGTGGAAAATCAGGATACATGTCCTCTAAGATCGGGTTCGCTTTCCGCTGCCACCAATGTAGCGTTCCGAGACTCCCTGAAGACGAAAGAAGACACAATACTCGGGCAGAATATATGTATTCAGCATAGAGAAGGTGTCTGGGCTATTGGCATGGCCCAAAAGGCCAGCCCACCCAGCGAGGTACAAGGGGGCTAATTCAAAGTACAAAAGTGGCGCCTCCCCAGTACCGAGGGATAAACCACTCTCGTATTACACTAACTAGCCAGTGATCACAAAGCAAAGTGTTCCCACAGTAGACTAGGAAAATTTGAGAAAAAAACGGGATTCATGACTTAAATAGTATAATCCACACATTCATGCACGATCCTAGTAACCTTAAATTTCCTACGACTAGGCTCATCCTCAGTTAAACTCGGCAATACATAAACAGCACTGCGGCAAGGTGATCATCATCATAGCCTCTCCCTAGGTGGCTCAGGACAAACGCACCACTCCTCTTACGCCGCGCAGCGTGACCCCAACCATACCGCCCTCCGTGCCACCACGTCCGCAGGACACCAGGCAACCCAAGCTGGTCGAGTGCGCGCACCCTAACTCCCAACACCGCGCCAGCTCCACTTCCAGAAGAATCAATCCGAAGGCACGCACCCATGGACAGAAATTCTCCATTACAATAGTGAGTACAGTGATTGTACGAGTCTCACGATATCCCCAGACTCGCGACTCAGGAAGAGGAAATCGAAGACCTCATTGCAAAAGTTGGAGTAGTATGCGTAGCCCCACGTGCAGTTGGGAGTGAAGTTTACCTCACAGAGCTATGGGAAGGGGTGCCTTGCCGCCTTTGCCACCACTCCAGAAGCAAATCCACCGTGTTACATTGCGCGTGACTTGCCGTAGGCGCCCAGACCTCGAGGTGGTGGATAGGCAGTGGCTGCCCAAAACACCTCCCCCCAGTGTCTTGTAGATTTTCATCTGTAAATAGAAAGAAGAAGTCGTGATTACGAAGAGCGTTCAAATGAAATCGAGACCCCCAACTTCACCGGCACACAGTGGTAAGCGATAGCGCATGTCACGAGCCTACCATTCCAGTCCGAGCGCCGGTTACCACGATGAAATGACAGACAACAGTGGTACTGTGCATGTGCATGCAAAAGCGTATGTTGGTGAATGCAGACTAAGTGTCTGAGTCGATATAGTTTAATCAAACCGGTAAAGCGGGGGCTAATAGCAGCCGAACGCATTTGATTAACGAAGCTGAAAGCAGTGAAATAGTGTTTTATCGGTCATATCTGCCGAAAAGCAAAGTGCACTGGATTTCTTTGTAAAAAAAGTCATTCTTGATGCTTTTTAATTGCATGAAATTCGTATTCCTCCACGAATCCAATTGATTGTTGTTATATCAAGCATGGTTTCAATGACAACTCTCCTCACTACACGATCATATCTAGGTACGCAAATAAGCGACCAAATTTGCCGATTTTTAACCGCTTTATTGAATATCTAAACACCCGGATCTGTGCATGAAGTTCAAGAAGGGAACAGAGATACTCATACCTCAACGTCAATATTTGATCATGAAGTACGGGTCCTCAAAAGTGATTCGGATAGCATATTCCACACACAAAAAACTATAGGATTTGAAATTTATGATAAAAAACGATACCTCAATGTCCTTCCACTGGAGGTTGGGATACTGCTTCTCAAAGGCCTGAATGAAGTCAGTGTGGTGGATATGCAAAAGCTCATCAGCTTCGCGATAGTTCATTGCGGCAAAATGCTTTGTGTAGTCGTCGAAATGATCCAGTAAAAATTGCCTGGAAAAAATGGTCAGGGATAAGCTACTTCTAGTGAGTCAGTTGTACAGTGACTTCAACGAAGTTAACACCGGTGAGTTCATGAATTCCATGCCCTGATTTCGAAAGAGGACGTTGTGATTCCATTAATAATAAGTCTCTAGAATGTTACTGGATCCGCACCCCGGCAAAGAACTATGTACAAAGAAAAAGTATACTAGAAAGCAGTAAGAAAACTTTAGTCGGAAACAGTGGGGATGACGGAAGGTGTGGCGGATCACTTAGACCATTTCAGCACCCATTAATCGACCTCCACGACAGTAGTATGGGGCGCCGCCCACGTGACCTGTGCTTAGGAATCGCCGACCTTCTGCAGGATTATAGCAAGCCCACTTCCAGGGATGACCCCGGGTACCAAATTGTATCATTGGTCTAGTGTCTGTGCGCGTTATATAAACAGTTCTGTAAGTTTAAAAGTTCGTTTGCATAAAAATTCCTTCGTTATTTAATTAAGCATAAAAAGACCTAAAGAAAGCCTATTTGTACAGACGCCTTGGGACAACTGCCAGTGAAAACGACACGAGAGAAATCAATAATCCTCATTGTTGTGTTAGTGAGATACAGGAGAAGTAAGCATTTTGGGACTATGCGTCTTTGTCAAAATTTTGAGAGCTCGTTTTTAACATTATATCCGAAATGCCCACAAAACCAGAGGACCAATAATACTGCACTAAATATCTATGAAACACTAACACTAAAAATTTTTAAAAGCGGAATTTCTAGCATGCACTTTACAAAGTCATACAGTGGAAGACCAACAAGAACCTGGCCGACTGACGAAACTACGTTCATCACCAGCATGAATTGCAAAACCCGGGTATGATTTCGTCCAAGAATAAATTTGTTGTCCAACTTTGTGATAAGTAGCATACAAAGAAATAAAACTACAAAATGACTAAAATGCAAACATGCCGGGGCCAGAGAGCATTGCTGTTATTATACCACCGGTAAAAGTGCATTCACGCTTGGTATAAAGGTAACGATCGTATGACAAGACAAGTTTGACATACATTAAGTCTAGTTCCTCAGCACCTCCAAGCACAGCTTCTTGGGGAGATCTGTTTATGTGAGGTAGCCATCCTCAACCGAGCGACTCGAAATTTGATTAGTGTTCCTAAAGGATGCATAACACCTGCTACATCATGGTGGGAGAGCAATGGCCCATTAAAACGATTTAGAATCGAAGATGTTGTATAATGTACTGGTAAAAACTGAGTAAGAAAACGGTTATTTTAACTTTGCACAATCAAGCACTAAATTATCGCCGATGCTCTTTAATCTTTTGCTTCTTAAAGTAACTTACTTAAAGCTTTCGCGAGTTTTTTAATGATAGAAGCCCAAAGTTTATTTTCTTTTGGGTGCAAAATCAGTTCATAGCCTATTGTCAAACTAAGGGCAACTTAAAACTACCTCTTCTGTATTACTTCTGGGTGCATTAGGGTGCTCACAGTGGACTATCTCTACCATTCTTTCGTAACCTTACCACTACTTCCGATTTATGACAAGCCTTCGTAATTCCGGCCAGAATTTGGTTTTTCGACATGCTATGGTTTTCTTTTTTTCAGTTTAATAGCTAAGGCTAACTGACGAATATGTTAACTAGTGAACCAGTTGTGCATTATTTTAGCTTTTCTTACCCTTCCGTCTCTAGCTTCATATTGCTTGACTGAAAAGACTGGATAGAGAGAGCCATTTTTTTCCACAATGTAGGATTTTGCAAATCCTTATAACCATGGCATAGCGGAAGATTTGAGTTTGTTTCCACCTTAGGCATTGATAGCGCCTCCTCATTCTCGAGAATGGTGTATTAAGCTCATTTGCCAATGAAAGGTGAACTCAATCAAACATGTATTCCATAGCCCTCTCGTCATTTTAGGG